GGAGCTTTGTCAAGCCATTACCACAGCTTGATATAGCTCCTCCAGAACAAAACATTGTCACGATAAACTATCACATTAGTTGCATTTGTGTCCTTTTACCTAACATTCTGTCAGTAATTCTACCATTATTATTAAGCAGAAACAAGGAGTATACAGGTCAGCATGCATGGCACTCACAGGGCAGCACTTAGTTTAGCTTCCATATGTCATGGCCATCCCAAGAACTAAAGTCCACTCCCCAGCTTTGCCACAACAATGAAGACAATAATCTTCCACTATGTATGTAAAGGAACTGTCATCAGAGGAAATAAACAAAGAACAAATCAAATACAAGTCCACACAAAAGTAAAATTAGACACAATCACCATAGAACTAGTAAATAAACTGCCCAAATTCCCTGTAATTTGTTAAGTTAGGTTAACTCAAGATCTTTACTGTTTTTTAATGGAAACCCATGTTTATTGATACAGTAGGGCCCCACTTAAACGGCAGGTTAGGTTCCAGGCTACCGCTGTAAAGTGGAACACCCCTTTTTTCCACTTGTAAATGCATATAAATACTAGATAACAAATTAACACTAACATATATTAAGTTAGCAATAGAACTAGGTATTAAAAAACAATAAAATAGTAAAATACACATATAGTACACTCATTACTTACCTTAAAATATTTGTAGTCTTAATCTATGGTGAGACAAGTAGTATTTATTGTAAGAAATCAAGTGTGGTATGTATGGTAGTCAGCCGGACTACCATACGAGGCCACCCCACCCACATATAATATTCTATAACATTTAACCCGTAAACGGTCCAAACATATACATACGTCTTCACCGCTATTGCCCCAAACGTATATATACGTTTTATTTGTCATACATTTAACATTGCCACGATAAGCCTGAGTCGCCTAGACATGAGAGAATGGGTGTGTGCACTCACTGTGTGCCGTATTAAAATAATTGGGGATGCCTGGGTACCATATCCTCTTTTTTCCTATTAAAAAAGTTTTTTTTTTTTTTCTCAAAAAAGTTGGGGCACTACGGTAGAGAACATATATAGACGTTTGGACCGTTTACGGGTTTAAGCATCCCAGAGCAATAAAATGCATATACAGTTCACTCATTACTTAAAATATTTGTAGTCTTAATGTAGGGTCAGAGGTGAGTAAACGAGATAAAACGAATAAATGAGAGAAAGAAAGAGAGAGAATGAGTACATGAGTAAGGACAGGTGCAGAGTTATGTTAACAAACCAGGCGAATGTAAGTTTTGTAAACAAACAAAGTGTACACGTCTAGTTTGTGTATAAGTTACATTGTGTACAAGTTGTCTCTACATTGATACATTAGAATAAATAAAGAATACTCCCATTCTCATGTAACACCATTTTTAGAAGAAATGACGCTTTGAGTGAAGGCAATGGAAATAAGTCACTGTCTGACTTTTTTCGGTTATCCTAGATTCTCTACACATATGCTGTTATGTATGATAATGTATGTAACTGTATTTGTGTATACCTGAATAAACTTACATACAAAAGGAATAATTTTCTACAGTTACCCCCAGTAACACATTTTCTCTGATGTTTTACTAGAGAAAATGTTATTCTTGCCGTCACTCGTACAAACCTGGCTACCACATCTCGTATTTATGTTTATTTATTCTACTGTGGGGTGTATTTATCATCTTTATATGTTATGACGGTTTATTAATAATTTTAAAAAAAAATTCGTAATGGTTTAAATGAAAATTTGATATTAAAGTAATAAGGACATTTAAAATGAGATTCGGTGATGTTTTAATACTAATAGGGCGTCCTTGTACGAGGCGTCTGGCCCCATTTTCCCATATTTAGTTCATTTATTCACTGGGAGTATATTTATCATCTTTATATGTTATGTACATTTTATTATAAAATTTTTGAAAAAAAATCATAGTGGTTAATGAAAATATGTATATAAACAAATATACGATATTTAATGAACTCGGTGATTATATTATTTTTTTTTTTTTTTTTTTTTTTTTTTTCAACAAGTGGCCCCGTCTCCCCCCGAGGCGGGGTGCCCCAAAAAAAAAAAAAGAAAATCCCCAAAAGAAAAACTTTCATCATCATTCAACATTTCACCACACCGCAATTATCACTGTTTTTGCAGGGGTGCTCAGAATACAACAGTCAGAAGCATAAACATATAAAGATACACAAATATCCCTCCAAACTGCAATATCCCAAACCCCCCCTTTTAAAGTGCAGGCTTTGTATTTCCCTTTTCCGGGGCTCAATCCGAAATAAAAAAGGGTTTCCCTGAACCCCTTCACTAAATATTACCCCTTCACCCCCAACAGATCGTCGGGCCCAATACCATTCGTCCCCATTCCCCCTTATCTAACACGTCAGCACTTTTTGGGGAAGTCCAACCCCCTTACCCACAAAACCTCCTTTACCCCCTCCCCCTCCCAACCCTTTCGGGACGACCCCTACCCCCCTTCCCCCCCTAAGTTTTTAATGTTTCCATGTCTTTAAAGTGACCCATTCTCTCTAAATACCAAACCACCTCAACACCCCTCTTCTCCCCTTACTAATACTTTTATTAACTCCACCCTCTTAATTTCCCCATCCGAATTTTCGATAATATTTACCCCACCATTGCCCTTAAAACGGGAACCCTCCGCTGCCCCAAACCCCCGTCTCCTCGCTGCGCATTTACCCCCCAAGTTTTACACCCAATAAGAGTTTTTGGTACTATTACTTTCATACTTTCCCCTTCTTTGCCTCCATAGTAAGTTTTTTTGACCCCACATATCCCAAAACGCACCCTCACCTTTTTTTTCCCTCATCAATTCTATGTTTAACCTCATCCTTCTAAATCCACCGCCGACCGTCAACTCCCAAGTATCTGAAAAACATTCACTTTTTCCCCTACTCCTCCTCCCCAATTTATATCCAATTTTTCTTTATCTAAATCATTTGACACCCCATCACCTACTCTTTTCTATGTTCACTTTTAAAATTTCTACCTTTACACACTTCCCAAAATCATCCACTAACCTTTGCAATTTTTTTTAGAATCTCCCCTAACACAGTACATCAGCAAAAATAACTGGTCAATTCCCATTTTTTAATTTGATTCCCCATAATTTAATCCCCCCCCTCTCCCAAACACCCAGCATTTACTTCCTTTTCAACCCCCCCTATAAATATATTAAACAAACCAGGTGACATTACACATCCCTGTCTAAGACCTTTTTACCGGGGGAAGTAGTTCCTCTCTTTACACACCCTAACCCGCCCCATATCCTCATAAAAACTCTTTACAGCATTTTTAAAAACTTACCACCTATTCCATTTAAAATTTCAAAACTGCCAATTGCTCCTTATCCACTCTATCATATGCCCTTTTCTAAATCCATAAAGCAAAAAAACTTCCCCATCTTTTTCTAAATACTGTTCCATTAAACTTTAATGTAAACACCTGATCACACATCCCCTACCCACCTAAAACCTCCTTGCTCACCGCAATCCTACTTTTGTCTTTACCTCTAATTCTTTCAATTATAACCCTACCGTACATTTTTTTGAAAACTCAGTAGCTTATTCCTCTTTTTTTTTTCGTCTCTTTTGTCCCCCTTTTTTCCCTTTTTTAAAGGGGCTATACCTCTCGCCAATCCTAGGTACCCCTTCCCCCCTTTCTACATTATTAAACAAAAAACCAACCACTCCCAAACTATTCCCCCCCTGTTTTAACTTTTGTATGATCCCCTCGTTCCAGCTGCTTTAACCCCCCCCCTTTTATTTTTCGAATGCCTCACACCCCCCCCCACACTTACATTCTGCCTTCTTTTTACTCCTAAAAGATGGTATACCTCCCCGACCAGTGCATGAAATTTTTTGCCTCTTTTCTTCTTAACATTTAAAAGTTCCTCAAAAAATTCCGCCATCTACCCAAAACCCCCCATCTCCCCATCTACTAACCCCCTACTCTGTTTTTAACTGACAAATCCATATTTTCCCTAGGCTTTCTTAATTTTTAAAACTACTCCAAAATTTTTCTTATTTTCATTAAAAATTTTTTGCAGTGCCCCTCCCCCCCCTACATCTGCTTCCTTTTTCACTCTCTCCCCCTTCCCCTTTTCCCCTTTTTTTTTCTCCAATCCTGCTCTTCTTATAACACTTCTGCTTTGTAAAAACCTCTCATAAGCTACTTTTTCTCTTTTATCACACCCTTTACTTCATCATTCCACCAATCACTCCTCTTTCCTCCTGCCCCCACCCTCCTATAACCACAAACTTCTGCCCCACATTCTAATTACTGCATTTTTTAAAACTATTTCCAACCCTCTTCAACCCCCCCACTACTCATCTTTGCACTAGCCACCTTTCTGCCAATAGTCGCTTGTATCTCACCCGAACTTCCTCCTCCCTTAGTTATTACACTTTCACCTCCCTCTTACTTGTTGTTGCCACCTTCCTCTTTTCCCATCTACCTCTTACTCTAACTGTAGCTACAACTAAATAATGATCCGATATATCAGTTGCCCCTATAAACTGTACATCCTGGAGCCTACCCATCAACCTTTTATCCACCAATACATAATCTAATAAACTACTTTCATTACGTGCTACATCATACCTTGTATATTTATTTATCCTCTTTTTCATAAAATATGTATTACTTATTACCAAATTTCTTTCTACACATAGCTCAATTAAAGGCTCCCATTTACATTTACCCTGGCACCCCAAATTTACCTACTACTCCCTCCATAACATTTTACCCACTTTAGCATTAAAATCCCCAACCACCATTACTCTCACACTTGATTCAAAACTCCCCACGCATTCACTCAACATTTCCCAAAATCTCTCTCTCTCCTCTACACTTCTCTCTTCTCAGGTGCATACACGCTTATTATAACCCACTTTTCACATCCAATCTTTATTTTACTCCACATAATCCTTGAATTAATACATTTATAGTCCTCTTTTCCTGCCATGCTTATCCTTCAACATTATTGCTACTCCTTCTTTAGCTCTAACTCTATTTGAAACCCCTGACCTAATCCCATTTATTCCTCTCCACTGAAACTCTCCCACCCCCTTCAGCTTTGTTTCACTTAAAGCCAGGACATCCAGCTTCTTCTCATTCATAACATCCACAATCATCTCTTTCTTATCATCTGCACAACATCCACGCCACATAGACTTCCCACTTTGACAATTTTCTTCTTCTTATTCTTTTTAGTAATCTTTACAGGAAAAGGGGTTACTAGCCCATTGTTCCCGGCATTTTAGTTGACTTTTACAACACGCATGGCTTACGGAGGAAAGATTCTTATTCCACTTCCCCATGGATATAAAAGGAAAATTAATAAGACCAAGAACTATTAAGATAAAATCAAAGAAAAACTCAGATGAGTGTGTATAAATAAATGTGTACATGTATGTGTAGTGTGACCTAAGTGTAAGTAGAAGTAGCAAGACATGCCTGTAATCTTGCATATTTATGAGACAGACAAAAGACATCAGCAATCCTACCATCATGTAAAACAATCACAGGCTTCGTTTTACACTCACTTGGCAGGACGGTAGTACCTCCCTGGGTGGTTGCTGTCTACCATCACTAATATGGTATCTTGAGACATAAGACACTCTTACTGATTTTATTATGTACCTGCATGCCAGCACAGTGTGTAAGTTTATTTAGGTACAGGTATACATATGTATAATTATCAGAGTATATATAAAACATGAAATAACTTTTAACCCTTAAACAGTCTAAACGTATATGTACATTCACCTGTGCACCACCCCGAATATTTTGAGGGAAAAAAAAATCTTTTTTTTTTATAGGAAAAAAGAGCATGTTGTACCCAGGCATCCCCAATTTTTTTCATATTTTTTTCATATGAGTGTGCACACCCATTCTCTCATGTCTGGGTGACTCAGGCCTATCGTGCCAATGTTGAATAAAAGACAAATGAAGCGTATATATACGTTTGGGGCGCTACGCGAGAGAACGTATATATACGTTTGGACCATTTAAGGGTTATAAACACTTGAAATTTTGGAGTTTCCAGACATAATAGAGAGACTTAGTACTTACAGATCTCACAGAGAATGTAAACAAACCAGTTGGGGCACAGTGACCACATTAGAAAGTCAGGTGGGGGGAGCTGTGTAGAGAGTTTTGGTCATAATTTGAAATGACCGTATTAGTGGAACGCCGTAAAGTGAAACGCCGTAAAGCAGGGCCCTACTGTATACACATTTTTTCCTTCGTCCAAGGTAATGCAATCCATTTTTTTTTTTACACAATGGCCATCTCCCACCAAGGCAGAGTGACTTGAAAAAGAAACACTTTCACCATCATTCACATTATCACTGTTTTGCCAGAGGTGCACAGATATGACAGTTTAGATTTCACTCTAAACACCTCCAAGACTAAAGTCCGGCAAACCAGTTTCCCTGAATCCCTTCACAAAATATTACCCAGCTCACACTCCATATATTGCGCATACCTGGTCTTTTAATACAGGTGGCCCCCACAACTAAAACCTAATTAGTTCTGAGCCACTGCCAGTTGCTAATTAGTTCCAGACGAGTTGTTACTAGTTTCTCTGACATAAGCCGAACCTTTAGTTCCAGCAGGTACATGTTATTAAAGGGTGTTCAGTTTCTGAGAAGGAACACCATGGCCATAAATGCAAGGCAGGGAGAAACACAGATCAGGTAGTTGTAAGTTGGGGGTTGCCTGTATATCACGGCTGTTATATGACAATATTATATTGATGTACAGAATAACACTGCATCAGTGATTAATTCCTTGGAACGAACTGTAGAGGCAGTGGAATCTTTGGTCGTAGCAGCATACTCCATTCTTGCTGTGGTGGAGTGTTGTCTGTTGCCACTAAATGAAACTTCAGCAGCAATCGACACAGGCCAACATACAAATCCTGCTCTGCAAACCTGCGACCTGTAGAGTGATAAACATAACAAGAGGGTTTTATGAGAGATTAATGCAGTAATCTGCCATATAGAACATGCTACAAGCAATACTACAGTAAAGTTTTCTTACACAGTGTATCAAAAGCTAAACATCAAGTCCAGTATGTGTATGAACAAACCTGCACACATCCGAGTACCAATACTGAATGGATTGAGGATGTAGGGATCTATGTTTGTACTTCCAGATAAGTCTCTCAGCCAGCGTTCAGGACGCAACATGCCTGGGTCTTGGAAGTAGCGATCACTTTGTAACCAAATGTAAGCATTTAAATCAACGTAAGCCTGAAATAAAATTAGGAACATAAAATGTGCTCTTCATTTTGGTTAGTAAAGTATATGAATCAACATTTAGGTAATCATATCAATAATGCAATATGTTTCATAACATAAAAATACTATAAATACCAAAAAATACTGGACTGAAACACACATGAATTGTTTGCCACCAAACTCTAACAATTAAAAAACAAAATGAATCAAAAAGGTCAGATAGCCAGATACTGATGTTTTGTATTTTCTAAGCTTTCTGCTAAAGCCTATAATTTTTTTTGTGTATTTTATGCATCCTTTTTGCATTTGATAAAGCCAAAGTAAAGAAAAAATAATAATACAAAAATGTGGGAGGCAGCATCAGCTGTGCCCCTCAGTAGGTCAACTTCGTAAATCATCATCTTTCAACAAAACTGTCGTAACCCACCAAAGCAGGGTGGCCCAAAAAAGAAAAACAAATGTATACAGGAGAAGGGGTTACTAGCCCCTTGCTCCAGGCATTTCAGTCGCCTCTTATGACACACATGGCTTACGGAGGAAGAATTCTGTTCCACTTCCCCATGGAGATAAGAGGAAATAAATAAGAACAAGAACTAATAAGAAAATAGAAGAAAACCCAGAGGGGTGTGTACATATATGCTTGTACTACATGTGTACTGCATGTGTAGTCTGACCTAAGTGTAAGAAGTAGCAAAATGTACCCAAATTCTTGCGTGTTTATGAGACAGAAAAGACACCAGCAATCCTACCATCATGTAAAACAATTACAGGCTTTCATTTTACACTCACTTGGTACGATGGTAGTACCTCCCTGGGCAGTTGCTGTCTACCAACCTACTACCTAGGAACTTTGTAATAATACAGTGGACCCCCGCATAGCGACTTTAATCCGTGCAAGAGGGCTGATTGTTATGTGAAATGTTCGGTATGCGAATGAATTCTCCCCATAAGAAATAATGGAAATCAAATTAATCCGTGCAAGACACCCAAAAGTATGAAAAAAAAAAATTTACCACATGAAATGTTAATTTTAATACACACAAACTGAAAAAGGCATGCACAATTACATGACACTTACTTTTATTGAAGATCTGGTGATGATTGATGGGATGGGAGGAGGGGAGAGAGAGTGTTAGTGTTTAGAAGGGGAATCCCCTTCCATTAAGACTTGAGGTGTCGAGTCCTTTTCTGGGGTTACTTCCCTTCTTCTTTTAATGCCACTAGGACCAGCTTCAGAGTCACTGGACTTCTTTCGCACAACATATCTGTCCATAGTGGCCTGTACCTCTCGTTCCTTTATGACTTCCCTCAAGTGTTTCACAACATTGTCAGTGTAATAATCACCAGCACGGCTTGCAATAGCTGTGTGAGGGTGATTTTCATCCATGAAGGTTTGCACTTCAAGCCACTTTGCACAGATTTCCTTAATCTTTGTAGTAGGCAATTTCTCTCTCCCCTCCTCTGAACCATTTTCCTCAGGTCTGGCCTCTTGCTGTTGAAGTTGATCTATCAGCTCATCAGTGGTTAGTTCTTCATTGTCCTCCTCCACCAACTCTTCCACATCATCCCCACTAACCTCCAACCCCAAGGACTTTCCCAATGCCACAATGGATTCCTCAACTGGCATAATCCTCTCAGGGTTAGCCTCAAACCCTTCAAAATCCTTTTTGTCTACACATTCTGGCCACAGTTTCTTCCAAGCAGAGTTCAAGGTCTTCTTAGTCACTCCCTCCCAAGCCTTACCTATAAGGTTTACACAATTGAGGATATTTAAGTGCTCTCTCCAAAACTCTCTTAGAGTCAGTTGAGTTTCTGAGGTCACTACAAAGCACCTTTCAAACAGAGCTTTTGTGTACAGTTTTTTGAAGTTTGCAATAACCTGCTGGTCCATGGGCTGCAGGAGAGGAGTGGTATTAGGAAGCAAAAACTTCACCTTAATGAATTTCATGTCCCCATAAAGTCGCTCTGCCACGTCTGTAGGATGACCAGGGGCATTGTCTAACACCAGGAGGCACTTAAGTTCTAATTTCTTTTCAGTTAAGTAATCTTTCACATTGGGGGCAAATGCATGGTGTAACCAGTCATAGAAAAAGTCCCTAGTGACCCATGCCTTACTGTTTGCCCTCCACAGCACACACAAATTCTCCTTGAGGACATTCTTTTGCCTGAGCGGTCTGGGAGTTTCAGAGTGATACACTAATAAAGGCTTCACTTTGCAATCACCACTAGCATTGGAACACATCAACAAAGTAAGCCTGTCTTTCATAGGCTTATGTCCTGGGAGTGCCTTTTCCTCCTCAGTAATGTAGGTCCTGCTTGGCATTTTCTTCCAAAACAGGCCTGTTTCATCACAATTAAACACTTGTTCAGGTTTCAGTCCTTCACTGTCTATGTACTTCTTGAATTCCTGCACATATTTTTCAGCTGCTTTGTGGTCCGAACTGGCAGCCTCACCATGCCTTATCACACTATGTATGCCACTACGCTTCTTAAATCTCTCAAACCAACCTTTGCTGGCCTTAAATTCACTCACATCATCACTAGTTGCAGGCATTTTTTTAATTAAATCCTCATGCAACTTCCTAGCCTTTTCGCTTATGATCGCTTGAGAGACGCTATCTCCTGCTACCTGTTTTTCATTTATCCACACCAATAAGAGTCTCTCAACATCTTCCATCACTTGCGATCTCTGTTTCGAAAACACAGTTAAACCTTTGGCAAGAACAGCTTCCTTGATTGCCTTTCTGTTGCCCACAATAGTAGCGATGGTTGATTTGGGTTTCTTGTACAACCTGGCCAGGTCGGCGACACGCACTCCACTTTCATACTTATCAATGATCTCTTTCTTCATCTCTATAGTAATTCTCACCCTTATTCCTGTAGGGTTGGCACTAGAAGCTTTCTTGGGGCCCATGGTCACTTATTTTCCAGATAAATCACCGAAAACACTGTAATAATACGAAATGTTCCGATTGTATGCTTGGATGTTACCGCGGAGGCTGGCTGGTAAACAATGCCACCGGCGGCACATGTGAGGCTGGCTAAGGGCGCACATTGGACGCGTCTCGGACGAAGAGCGGTGAGCGGGTTTTTGGGCGGTACGTGAGGCAAAATTTTTGCGAAAAAAGCGAGCGGTATGCGGATTGTACAGTATGCGATGCGTATGGTATGCGGGGGTCCACTGTAAATAAATTTTTGTTTCCAGAAAATATGCATTACAAAACTAATTATATTTATTTCCTACATTATGGAATGCCCATGGTTTCGCAGAGCATTTCAGACTAAAACTAGAACCTAAGTTTCCCGACATTGTATAGCTGTAGTTGGATTATTTGAATCCTAAGTATAATATACAGTATGCATGTTTCAGTTATCCTCGGTTTACGGTGGCCCAAAAATACCTCTTAATTTTCCATAATAATGGCACCAAAACACAAAAGTAGAGAAGCTGGCCGCAAAGTGCTTCTCATCAGTGAAAAAGTGATAATTCTCCACTTACTGTGCATAATTTATCAATTAAACTTTGTAATAGGTTTGTATAGGGCTTAAATATAGGGTTTGCTATTATCCACGGTTTCAGTATCCATGGCAGGTCCTTGGAATGTATCCCTCATGGATATGGGGTCCTACTGTAATTAACCCCTTCACTGTCGCAACCCCCAATCCTGAGGTGTCTCCTGGTGTTGCAAAATTTAAAAAAAAATTATTTTTTTCTTATGAAATGATAGAGGATCTTTTCCCAATTGTATTGACACCAAAAAAAAAATGAAATTTGATGGAAAACTGACGGAATTACGCTCTCACGAAGTTAGCAACCTCGGCGATATTTACAAATCGGCGTTTTTGGCCCACTTTGAACCCTATTTTTGGCTAATTCCACTGTTCCAGTCAACCAAACTCAGAGCTATTTCTTTAGAACTCCATTTTTTCTATCGATTGAGTACAAGAAACTGCCCATTTACTGATTTCAACTACCCAATAACGTGGTCAGAAATTTGCAATTTTGCCAATTTCACGAAAATTAAAAAATATGACAATTTCAAAATAAGGTCCAGAATGAACAATGCAGACATTCCTGGCTCTAAAATAACATTTTCTTTGTTCATCAGTCATGTCTCCAGGCCCCTCTGATATTACTCTTGCTTTCTATTTTGAATTTTTATTCAAACAAAAAATAGAAGATTTACTGTTATGCAGACTACTGCAATATTGTAATAGTTGTACAAATAATGTCAACCCATTCATGACTGCATATTAGAATGGCTAGTTGGGCATTTATTGGACAATGACATCATTTGTTTACTTTTGAACATCGGCAAAAATCAAACATTTCCCCTACTTTGAGCTCCATTTCCAGGTTCTTATTATAGTCAAACCAACCAAAATCACCTCTATTTTTATAATATGTTTTTCATTCTATCAAATGAGACCAAGAAAACGAGAATACAACCATAAATACTATACGAAAATAGACCACAAAGTCGACATTTGAATTAAAAAAAACGGTCTGAGTTTTTTTTTTCTCATTATGCACTGCGTGCTCCAGGATTTTTTTTTTATATGGTGCACACTGACCACACAGACCCATTCTCTCACATGCGGGACTACCAGCTTTCTCCTGCTTGATTTGAAGCCGCTAGAATTTATGAGTATACAGTGGACCCCCGCATAGCGATATTAATCCGTGCAAGAGAGCTCATTGTTATGTGAAATTATCGTTATGCGAATCAATTTTCCCCATAAGAAATAATGGAAATCAAATTAATCCGTGCAAGACACCCAAAAGTATGAAAAAAAAAAATTTACCACCTGAAATGTTAATTTTAATACACACAAACTGAAAAAGGCACGCACAATTACATGACACTTACTTTTATTGAAGATCTGGTGATGATTGATGGGATGGGAGGAGGAGAGAGTGTTAGTGTTTAGAAGGGGAATCCCCTTCCATCAAGACTTGAGGTGTCAAGTCCTTTTCTGGGGTTACTTCCCTTCTTTTAATGCCACTAGGACCAGCTTCAGAGTCACTGGACTTCTGTCGCACAACATATCTGTCCATAGTGGCCTGTACCTCTCGTTCCTTTATGACTTCCCTAAAGTGTTTCACAACACTGTCAGTGTAATAGTCACCAGCACGGCTTGCAATAGCTGTGTGAGGATGATTTTCATCTATGAAGGTTTGCACTTAAAGCCACTTTGCACAGATTTCCTTAATCTTTGTAGTAGGCAATTTCTTCAATTTCTCTCTCCCATCCTTCGAACCAGTTTCCTCAGGTCTGGCCTCTTGCTGTTGAAGTTGATCTATCAGCTCATCAGTGGTTAGTTCTTCATTGTCCTCCTCCACCAACTCTTCCACATCATCCCCACTAACCTCCAACCCCAAGAACTTTCCCAATGCCATAATGGATTCCTCAACTGGCATAGGATTCTCAGGGTTAGCCTGAAACCCTTCAAAATCCCTTTGGTCTACACATTCTGGCCACAGTTTCTTCCAAGCAGAGTTCAAGGTCCTCTTAGTCACTCCCTCCCAAGCCTTACCTATAAGGTTTACACAATTGAGGATATTAAAGTGATCTCTCCAAAAGTCTCTTAGAGTCAGTTGAGTTTCTGAGGTCACTACAAAGCACCTTTAAACAGAGCTTTTGTGTACAGTTTTTTGAAGTTTGCAGTAACCTGCTGGTCCATGGGCTGCAGGAGAGGAGTGGTATTAGGAGGCAAAAACTTCACCTTAATGAATTTCATGTCCCCATAAAGTCGCTCTGCCACGTCTGTAGGATGACCAGGGGCATTGTCTAACACCAGGAGACACTTAAGTTCTAATTTCTTTTCAGTTAGGTAATCTTTCACATTGGGGGCAAATGCATGGTGTAACCAGTCATAGAAAAAGTCCCTAGTGACCCATGCCTTACTGTTTGCCCTCCACAGCACACACAAATTTTCCTTGAGGACATTCTTTTGCCTGAACGGTCTGGGAGTTTCAGAGTGATACACTAATAAAGGCTTCACTTTGCAATCACCAGTAGCATTGGAACACATCAACAGAGTAAGCCTGTCTTTCATAGGCTTATGTCCTGGGAGTGCCTTTTCCTCCTGAGTAATGTAGGTCCTGCTTGGCATTTTCTTCCAAAACAGGCCTGTTTCATCACAATTAAACACTTGTTCAGGTTTCAGTCCTTCAGTTTCTATGTACTCTTTGAATTCCTGCACATATTTTTCAGCTGCTTTGTGGTCCGAACTGGCAGCCTCACCATGCCTTATCACACTATGTATGCCACTACGCCTCTTAAATCTCTCAAACCAACCTTTGCTGGCCTTAAATTCACTCACATCATCACTAGTTGCAGGCATTTTTTTAATTAAATCCTGATGCAACTTCCTAGCCTTTTCACTTATGATCACTTGAGAGATGCTATCTCCTGCTATCTGTTTCTCATTTATCCACACCAATAACAGTCTCTCAACATCTTCCATCACTTGCGATCTCTGTTTCGAAAACACAGTTAAACCTTTGGCAAGAACAGCTTCCTTGATTGCCTTTTTGTTGCCCACAATAGTAGCGATGGTTGATTGGGGTTTACTATACAACCTGGCCAGCTTGGAGACACGCACTCCACTTTCATACTTATCAATGATCTCTTTCTTCATCTCTATAGTAATTCTCACCCTTATTCCTGTAGGGTTGGCACTAGAAGCTTTCTTGGGGCCCATGGTCACTTATTTTGCAGATAAAATCACCAGAAACACTGTAATAATACGATTGTATGCTTGGATGTTACCGCGGAGGCTGGCTGGTAAACAATGCCACCAGCGGAACATGTGAGGCTGGCTAAGGGCGCACATTAGACGCGTCTCGGACGAACAGCGGTGAGCGGGTTTTTTAGCGGTATGCGAGGCAAAATCTTGGCGATAAAATGTAGCAGTATGTGGATTTAACGTTATGTGATGCCAACGGTATGCGGGGGTCCACTGTATATACGTCAAATACGGTACCTCGTAAGACGTATATATACGACCAAAACAGTCAAAGGGTTAAGTTGTCTGAAGATAAGATTATTAAATGAGGTGAAAGTTTTAAAACCAAGGGACGAGGAAGTTAGGGTGAGATATAAGCAACTTTTGGGAGCACATAGTGAGAGTATAGGTAGTGCGGGGCTTGAAGAAGTTAGGGATAGCTTTCAAAATGCAGTGTTAGAATGTGGGGCAGAAGTTTGTGGATATAGGAGGGTGGATGCAGGAGGAAAGAGGAGTGATCAATGGAGCGATGAGGTAAAGGGGGTGATAAAGGAGAAAAAGTCTATTTATGACACGTTTACAAAGCACAAGTGATATAAGAAGGGTGGAGTATATGGAGAGTAAAAGAGAGGTGAAGAGAGTGGTGAGGTAGTGTAAAAGGATAGCAAATGAGTGTGTGGAAGAGGATCCAACGAATTGGCTGAGAAAAAAAAGTTTTAGAGATAAATAGGTTGAGAATGTCTAGGAAACAAATGAATTTGATAGTTAAAAACAGAATAGGGAAGTTATTAGATGGGGAGCTAGAGGCATTGGGAAGATGGCGAGAATATTTTCAGGAACTGTTAAATGTTGATGAAGTGAAGGAGGCAGTGATTTCATAAATTGGCCAGGGAGGTATAACATCTTTTAAGAGTGAAGAGGAGCTAGATGTGAGTGTGGGGGAGGTGTGCGAGGCACTGGGTAGAACGAAAACAAAAGTTTATTTCTTTGCAAAGGTTACAATGTGTATTTACATTTCATAATTTGATTGGTACAAAAAAAGCCACTATCATGCTGAGGTATTTCAGGCAGACTTAAATAATACTCAGACTACTCAAGTCTAGACAAACTTCAAATATTCAGTATTTTACTCAATTACGTATTAATATGAGGTAATACAATTTATGATACAAACATACATTTTTCAATTTGTAATAATGGTTGAATAGATAAGGGATAATAAAATGTCTGGGAGAGCTGCTTCAAATTTGGTTAGAGATTAGTATAGTGTGGGTATGGTTATTATTGAGAGAGGAGATGATTCTTAAGTATGGTCCAAAATTTATTTGTGAGTAGAGGACCTTTTGCTGGTTCAGGCAGAGAGTTCCAGATTTTCAAGCCCTTTATGCGCATTGCATTTTTGCATAGTGTGAGATAGACACAAGGGATGTCAAAAAGGGTTTGTGCCTCATCTTATGCCTGTGTGTTCTGATGTAGCTGTCTAGGTGAAGTTTAAGCAGAGGGTTTATATTGGAGTTTAATGTTCTGTATATGTAGTAGGCACAATAATAAGTGTGTAGATTTTGTATATTAAGTTCAAGCTCTTGAAGAATGGTGGGGATGTGT